TTCTTACCACCGCAGGCCTGCTTGACGCGCTCGGCTTGTTCGGCAACGAAATCAGCGGCCTGGTCAGCAGTCTTGCCACCATCGAAGAAAGCGTGGCAGTTGGCGGCGGCGTAGTCGGAAGCTTCGCAGATGGCTGGGTTGGCAATCATGGCAACGAAGGTGTCGACGATGACGACAGGGCCCTGGTACCCAGCGCCACGGAGTTGGCTACGAGCAGCGTTGACGGCGCCAACAACAGCATCGACGCTAGCAGCACCATTGTTGACGAGCTCGTTACCGACAGAGACAGTGTCGACCCAAGACCAATCGCCGTTAGCGACAGCAACGATCTTCTCGACGTCGGACTGGACCTGGTTGATGTCGAAGATACCGATGAAGACCTTCATGCCCTTGGCGGTAGCAGCCTTGTGCACGGTGTTGACCTGGTCGCAGTCACAGCCGTAGATACGAACAAGCTTGTAGTCACCGAGCTTCTCGAAGTCGGCGTTGACCTGATCCTGGTTCTTGCAGGACTTGTCGTTGTTGTAAGGAGAGTAGACGATACCCTGGCCACCGCCGGAGCTTGGCTTGTAGTCCTTTGGAGCCTCTGGCTTGGGTGCAGCAGGCTTTGGAGCCTCCTTTGGTGCCTCTGGCTTTGGAGCAGCCGGGGCTGGAGCTGGAGCTGGTGGTGCCTGGTAAGCTGGAGGTGCTGGTGGCGCCTGGTATGCTGGAGGAGCTGGAGCCGGAGTCTTGGCTGGCTCGACGATGGGGTTGCCATTGCTGTCAACGTAGACAACGTGCTTTGCGGTTTCGGTCACGACCTGGACCTCCTCGTGGTAGGCCACGGGGTTCTCACGACGCGCGTGTCGGTGGCCACGGCGGTGGAGCTGCGCAGTGGCGGTAGCGGCCAAAGCCGCGACAAGAAGACCAGCTTTCATGGTGATGTTTGAGATATGGATGTGAAGTTAAATTGATACTGCCGGCCCGCGGAGTCAGTACAGTTGATGAAGAGAATGTGACTTGGCAATGTTGCAGTGAAGGAGATTTCTGCGGCGTCAAATGGCAGGGGCGTGTGCAATATTGCCGTCGCAGCGGGCGGTCTTCACAAGGCGGGCTTCATTTCGCGGTGATAAAGCAGGCGAGGCGCATGAAAGGTGGATGAAAGAGCAGACTCACAAGATCCAAAATAGGGCACACGTCTGGTGATTGCCGTGTCACGACGCGAGGAATGCTGATGCGCTGCTCTGACGGGGT